CTCTTTTCAAATAGAAATCACATGTAGGAGCATTTTACCCAATCATATATTTCTACTTCCTAGAACCACCCCTCTTGAAGTATATATTGTTAAATTCACACTACAAAATTTCTAATCAAATAACTGTTTTTTAATTACATAAGAATGCATATTTACTATAGAAAAATTTAAAAATGCATGCATTCACAAGAAAGAAAATATTAAAAAATACTCAAAATCTATGACTCCAAGAAATTCAGTTTAAATGTGAACATCTGTCATTTTTGAATATTTTTCCTGCAAGACCTTATATACTTTTTTACTAAAGCAATCAATATTTTTAATTTCTTGATGATTTCACTGAGGAGAATTATACTTTCTTTTACCTTTCTTACTGGCTGGATATTATTTCTTTACATAAATGTATCACAATTTACTTAGACAGTGCCCTTTTATTAATTATTTCTCCATGTGTTTGAGAACAGTGTGTGTGTGTGTGTGTGTGTGTGTGTGTGTGTTGTTGGGTTATACATTACAACTGGTTAAAAATTTGCAATTTTAGACAGATGAATTAAATCTGATAAAAGCCTGGAAATTTATCAGTTACTTCTTGAAAGGCAATAAATTTATTCTATGCAACAGAAAAAAAATGAAAGAGTAAGGTCTTTTAAGTAGTGGTAAAACCCTTAGTTTTGCAGGTTAATTAGGTTCATGGAAAGTTAGGGCTAGAGAGTATAAGAAAGAAATGTATATGTGTGCATCTTTCAATATTCCATCTTGGATCTCAGCATCAAAAGGTAGGTGCTTTTTTATTGAAATGGAAATTATTTCCTGCAGTAGTGATAAAACTACTTAATTCACTTAGAAATAAAGGAAAAAAAGCATGTTTTTTTGCCATCATGAGTGCTGAATAATCTATCACCTAGTCCTAGTACAACTGAAGTACATATATGCTCCCATAACTTACAACTTTTGTCACAGCCTAAATTAAAGAAAACAAGCAGTTTTTCTAAAATGAAATTAACAAACCCAAACAATTTTCAGAAACCAATATTATGTTAACTTAAATATTCTTAAGAGTTTTCTTCACAAAAATCAATTTTGTTTTAGCTAAAATTACTGACTAATGAAACTTGGGCTTTCTTGACATGTATAAACTGTATTAACTGTATTTCTTTGAAATTTATTTATAAATTAAATTGAATAATTTTTACTAGTCAGTAATTGGTTGGCATTTCTTTTCTAAAATAGCAGGCTCTCTTATAGCTAGCCCCTTCTCATCTTCCATCTCCCAAACTTACTTAATTCTGAAGCTGTTGATGTAGCTTCTAGCTTTTTTGCCTTTCTCTTCAAGATACTAAAATATCTGGATGAATATTGGTAATACTCAATTAAAAACCCAGATGCTTTAACTATATTTTTTCAAATGTTTATTGAAAGGAAAAAGGAAAGTTTATCTTTATCCTTAAAAGGAAAGAGTACACATTTGATTGCATCATCATTGGAATGTGTTTACGAATGGGCAGTGGCATTGTACTTAAACTCAGCCAGCAGAGCCTATAATCTCCCTCTCTCTCTCTCTCTCTCTCTCTCTCTCTCTCTCTCTCTCTCTCTCTCTCTCTCTCCCTAAGTGTGTTCACCATTGTTTTTTGTGCTACTGCATAATGTCTAACCAGAAAATTGCAACAACGTAAGCTTTAGATTTACACATTGAGTAAGTAGAATAAACTTCCTACTGCAATCTTAACGATAAACTGTATTAGGTTAGGTGGCGGGTAGTACTGGGGATTACCCTTGATAAGAATGAAAATGTACCTTATTTCTCATAGGCTATATGCTGCATTTTTGTATATATGTTTAGAAATTTCCCAGAGAAGCAGAATGATTTGTGCACATACTTTCACATGACTGTAATTACACTTTCATGCTCTCACAACATTACCCTAAATTTTCACAGCTGGAAGATTAAGATATTATATACAGATCACTGATTTTTATTTTACCCATTATCTGGATAATTTATATTATATGACTATAAACTATAAACTAAAATTTGTATGATAGTCTTCAATTCATAAAATGTGTGTATTTTAAAATATAAATTCAACAGAATAACTTGTATTGTTCAAAATAAACATTATCTTTTATGATGAAGTACTGTTTGATACTATATGACTACCGCCATATAAATATGTTTTAATTTATCTGTCAATAATAACTAAATTTATGCTGGGCTGAATGAGTCAACAATGATGGAGTCTTTTTTTTTTTTTACTCTTATTTTTAAAGCAGATTTAGAAAGAAAAAAAAAAAGAACATTAAAACAAATTATTAGCAGATAAAGATCAAAATCCATTAGAATTAAGATTACCATCCCACATGTGTGCATTTATAAAGGGATGAGTTGCTACCAGTAAAGAGATATGATAAACATAAATAGTAGGATGGTTACCTGAACTTTGTGAATTTATTTTTAGTTAAAGTACAGAGGCTTCTTTAAATAGCAAATTTTTTCCAAATTAAAATCAAATGCTTATTGTTTGGGCTTGAACTGTGAATACCTCAGAATTGGTTCTAGTTTTATTCCATTGTGATAGAAACCTATAATAAACAGCACAATAGAACACTATTTATTTTGTTTGCTTTTAGCCCTTTAGAATATTAATATGAAACTATTTTCTTCAAAATTTATTTTTCTGTAATGTATTATTCTTTCTTTGATGCATTATTCATCTCAAATAATAATAAATTACTTACTTTATGTCAATACAAATTCTATTTGCAGATTATCTATCATCTCAGTATATTAATAACAATTCTTACCTCAATAATAACTCATATCTCTCCTTTTTCTCACTCTTACTCACTATGATTCACTGTCAGATATTCGTGATCTCTCATTTAAACTATAGGAATAGTATCTTAAGTAATCTTGCAGTTCACAGTATTTCCTTCTTCTAGCCAATCTACAAACTGCAGCCAGGTTATTGTTTTCTAAAACAACATTCAGGTCATATTGTTAAAAAATATTCAATAGCTCTCTCTTTATTTTCACAGGCATTTCAGAAAGTAAAGGATTGAATGTTTTTTAAAAAAATTATCATGCTTTTCTTGACAAACAATTTTATTCTTCTCAGAAAAAAACAAAACAAAACAAAAAAACCCGAGTACAAAACTGCAATTAAGGTGCTTCTTTCTGCACTTGCACAATAGGAAATCAAACCAAGAAAATGTTCACAGTATTGTTTCTAACGTAGCCTCTTCCAGAATGTCAGTTGTTTCAAAAGTCTCAAGATAATTAATATATAACCAACTGTAAATCTTTAGATAAATGCTCACAATTGGCATAGATTTTTTTCTAACAATTTTGTTCCTCATTTAGTTATAATTTTGTCTGTTTCATCTAATAATCAGTTTCTGGAGATCTGATTATTAATTCCTATCTGTACTAAGAATTAATGTTTCAAAATTCTATTACTATTTATGGCATTTTAAAGCTATGTTATGTACCAAATGTTGCTTATGCCTTTAAAGATTTGATCACCCAAAAATGTATTTTTGTCTCTTTAAAATTATAGCACTTTCTCTTGAATGCTCTTTCAAATTAAAAATTAGAACAAATAACTTTATTAACTTCCCAATGGTAATGATGACACTCATATAACAAATTTCTTCCGTTTACTCTAGAAAACCTTAAAAATGATATGAGCTCTGAAACTGACTTGCCCCTGTATCAAACAGTAAGTAGCACTGTATTGCTTTCAATTTAGATTGTTTCTTGTAAGTCTAGTGAGGTAAAACTTAAGCAGGTTTGAAGTGATTTTTTTATTATTTTTCTGTTTTATCTGTATTAAGAATTAATGTTTCAAAATTCTATTACTACTTTATGGCATTTTAAAGCTATTCATATTTTTCTGATCAGCCAAATAAAACATGTCTGTGTAATTATTTCCAAGGAGAAACACCTCCATCTACTGGCCATTTGAATTATATCATTCTTCTTTTCTATTTCCAAATATTAAAAAAAACTATTGCAACAATGATTTTCCTGAGCTCTTTTACCTTTAATATAAAACTATATTTGGTATATATATTTTCACAGGAATATATATGTAATATTTATACACATACACTGAGTGGCCAGATTATTATGATCTCTGAACACAGAATAATCTGGCCACTCAGTGTATATCTTATAATAAAAGGCTAATATGCAAATTGTTTCCTCCACCAGGAGTTTTATCAGCAGGCAGGCTAGCCAACCGCCCATGTCCCCTCCCCCTGGCCAGGCTGGCCAGACCCCACCCATGCATGAATTCATGCACCAGGCCTCTAATATGCATTCAGAGATCATAACAATCTGTCCACTCAGTGTATATACATATGGGCATGGCATACCTAAAAAATATTGCAGGTTTGGTTCAAGACCCCTGAAACAGAGCAAATACCACAATAAAAGGACTCACATCATTTTTTTGTTTGTTTGCAAACGTATATAAAACATGTTTACACTATACTTGAGTCTATTTAGTGTGCAACAGCATTATGTCTATTTACATCCTTAATTTAAAACAATACTTTATTGCTAAAAAATTCAAACCATCATTTGATAACACAGCAAGTTATAATTTCTTTTCTCGGTAAGGGTCTTACCTTCAATTTCTATAAAATACAAAAATGCTGCATGGGACTGCAGTTTTTACCACCCTAAAGCTGCCTTTTGGGATATTGATCTTAAGCTGGTTATTTTTTAAAAAATGGCTCAGAAAACATCTTTGACCCTCCATCCTCTTTTACCTAAGAGATTCAGGTGGAAATAGCTGCTTCATGAAAGAAACTGGAGCACAGTCACCATACCATTAGACAGTGGAATCCATGCCTATTGACTAGATCCCCTCTCCCCCCATCATTTTTTATATTGCTTAGCAAAAATGTATCTACCATGTGTGTTCCCTTTCACTTTAAAAATCTTGTACCCTGCTCCCTTTTATCCTTTGCCCAAAATGTCAAATATATCCAGTTTTGCCTGGTTGTCTTTGGAATGTTCATGCTAAAGTGAAGTCTCTGTGCATTCCCATTAAAAATTTGACGTTCTTTCCAAGAGGACCACAGGTGGGACAAGGAAGTATAATTACATAGGGGTCACCACCCAGCTGCCCTTCTGAATGACACAAAATCAAACCACTGCTCCTCTGTGTGTAAAATTAAAGAGAGGTTTCTGGCTTGTGAGGACACCAAAGAAAGGGACCATCACTTCTTCCTCCTGGGAGAGGTGTAGAAAATGTAACAAAGACCTTGTCTATACCAAAAGAAATTGATAGCCAGTTTAAAAGGGAATTTCCATGGCCTACAGCAAAGAATATCCTTACATTATATTATTGTACAGGTCATTATAATTTTTCCCAGATTTGGGTTATCCCCATTACCTATAACAGTACCTCGCACCATGGGGTATCAATAAAAAATCATTATATATATATATATATATATATATATATATATATATATATATATATATATATATATTTGGTGCTTGGAGACAATGGTAACACATCTCTAGATATTTTAGAATTACAATAGCATATGGTACAATTATCCCAAACAAACTTGCAAACCAATCCTTTGAATGTCTGGCAGCAGTTTAAAATGACATGAAAGGATTTAATTCCTTCCACTGTGTAGAGGGCCCCCTGAGAAGGCTCCTGAGCATTCTATATTGGCCCTTCTTGCCCTTTTGGCCAAAAATGACCCTCTTCTCGTGGTCCAGGTGCCCACAGCTGTTCCTTGACCTTTTAGCTCATGCCGAGGCTGAAACACCATGGTGGCTGCTACCATGGATCTGTCTCTCACCCAGTGGGGTAAACTGGGCCCTCTCTGGAGAAGAAACATGGTTTCCTCAAAATATGAGATCAACGCCCGGGTCTTGCCAGCAGGTGAGGGGTTCCCTAGGCAGGTGCTGGGCATGGAGCCCATGGGGACATAGGCTACCAAGTAGACAGAACTAAACCTCACATCACCCTCTTGGCCCCGGAGGATGGCTGGTTAGCCAGAGATAGGTAAGATTCCTCTGGGAAAGAACAACCTAAGACGGGCACAGTCAAAGAGGGGCCATCAGGAGAGAACTTGGGGGTCAACAGAGGTGGGGCACAGACCCTAACCACCACCCTCTGCAACTTGGCAGGCGCCTGAACCTTCTCCCCTTCTGAGGGAGGTCTCCTGCCCCCATAGCTGCTTCGCTTCCAATGCACAGCTCAAATTGGCTGATAACAGCTGCCCTCTCACTGCAACAAGACTTGTTTGAGAGGTCTTGGACTCATGGTGTGGACAAGTGGGTTTTTAATATCCAAGTCCAGCCTAGTAGCAGGAATGCTCAGGCCCTTCTCAAGAAGGGAAATAATCATTTCCACTAATACACACACGGTAAATAAATACACAGGTAATGGAAATAAATGAATATTCTAGAAAAACTGATTGTACTGTACAAAAAGCTGTTCCTAAAGTGTTAACAAAAATTCTTATTGGCAGAGTGTCCCATGGTAAAATTGCATAACATGTTATGAACCTAAAGCAGTCATAGTTTAGCACAAATAATTAAAATGTAAAAGCTATAAAGACTACATTATAAAATTTCCAAAAGCCTCCTATTTTTTAAATTAAAAAGGAGGGTGACAGTGGAAGAATATCATGTAAGGAAAAACATCCTGTGAATAAATTACATCTAAAAAATGTGTAGTTTAGGAAATTAACCTTCATTCGAAATGCTAACAGCAAGATACCTATGAAAATACACACATGGTTGTCAAATCAAGCCAGAGGAAAATCATTTGGGGAGAAAAAATGAAAAAGGATTCCAAGTCAAATTTATAGAAAATATCCCTTAACTTTTGGTTGTGAGAATATGTTTGTATTTTTCAGAAAACAACTCTGAGACCATCTGAATTCCCGTAACAGAGAGGAATAGACATGAGGACAGAAGAGAAACAATTCAGAGAAGGAAGACACTGATGAAGCCTTGCCATACCAGCAGACAGCAGCTATGTGTTGCTGAAGGATGCCCAGGTCCAAACTAGAGACGGGCGGACCTGCATCATCACCATTTGTCCACCAACCAGATCTGAAATATCATGGCTGACATGTATACATAAGGAACTCTTTGACGTTGAAATTGGGACTCAAAAGAACTGTTGGCCCAGAAAGGAACTCACTACAGACTGATTCATTTGTCTCTCAGTATAACCATAATGGCTTGTCTCAGTTTCGGTTCTTACAGGGGTATTTCTTGGATCACATGATCTCACACATCTAGAGGAAATAATGAAAAACATAAACTGATGAACAAAAGCAGACCCAGAGAAAGAGAAGCAGCGATCAGACTCTCAAACCTCAGAGGAAAAGTAGGGGAGGGTGGCGGTAAGGGGGAGAGATCAACCAAAGGACTTGTGTGCATGCATATGGGCCTAGCCAGTGGCCATGGACAACAGGTGGGTGGGGGCATATTTGGAGAGGGGTTTGGGGTGGGTATGGGGGGATGAGGACAATTATGTGATACCATAATCAATAAAAATGAATAAATAAATATTAGAAATTGGCTAACAACAACAACAACAAAAATTTTGATGTTCTCCTGTTACTCTGTCTCTGTTAATTTATTAGCCCAGTTATAGAAACTTAAAAGATGGGAGGAACAGTATTATATTTTTAGGCCCCTCACTAAATTAAATAAAGCAAAATAAAATGAGGCATGTCTAATACCCTATCTAATAAAAGAGTAATATGCAAATTAACCATCACTCGGCTATACCCACAAGCCACGCCCACCAACAATGCCTACCAACCAATCAGAGTGAGTATGCAAATTAACCCCAACTAAGATGGCTGTGGCCACAGAGAGCAGGAGGGAGGCTTGGGTTTTCCTGGCAATGGAGGAAGCAAAGCTTCCTGCAAATCCTGGCTGGCCAGAATTTCACTCAAGGCTACAAAGTTTCAATTATAAAATATACATAAATTCCATCAGAAATGGCTGCTGACACAGAGCAAGAGGGAGGCTTGGCTTGGCTCCAGGCTACAAAGTTTCAATTGTAGAACATAAATAAATTCCAGATACCAGAGCCTCAGCTTGGGTCACTGGGGGGCGTGGCTGGCATGCAAACCACCCAGGCCATCCCAAATCCCAAGGAAACCCCCACCCTGATCCAGGACAACCTTCAGGGCAAACCAGCTGGCTTCCACCCATGCAGCAGGCCTCTATCCAATCAAATAAAAGAGTAATATGCAGATTGACCATCACACCAATACACAAGATGGCTGCCCCTATGTGGTCAAAGATGGCTGTCCCCATGTGGACAGAAGATGGCCACCACAAGATGGCCAGCAGGGGAGGGCAGTTGAAAGGGACCAGGACTGCAAGGGAGGGCAGTTGTGGGTAATCAGGCAACTGGAGGAAGGCAGTTGGGAGGCACCAGGCGTGCAATGGAGATTAGATGAAAGGGACCAGACCTGTAAGGGAGGGCAGTGGGGGGTGATCAACCCTGAAGGGGAGGGCAGCTAGGGGTGACCAGGCTGGCAGAGGAGGGAAGTTGGGGGCCAACAGGCTGGAAGGGGAGCAGTTAGACATCAATCAGGCTAGCATGGGAGTGGTTAGGGGGTAATCAGGCTGGCAGGGAGAAGTGGTTAGGGACAATCAGGCAGGCAGGCAGGTGAGAGGTTGGAGCCAGTAGTCATGGATTGTGACAGGGATGCTCAACTGTCTGTTTAGACCTGATTCCATAAATTCTGTCTTTTGTCTAAATGGGCAGTCGGAAATCCCTTGAGGGGTCCCAGATTGGAGAGGGTGCAGGCTGGGCTGAGGGACACTCAACCCACCCCCCCGCCCCGGCCCCATGCACAAAATATATATAATACAATAGTTAAACTGGGAGGCTTTTAGACTGAGGAGGCCCTACTGCCCCAGCAGCATCCATAAGCAAAACAAAATCTAAGTCTAAAAAAGACTCAAGGCTACAAAATTAAAACCTTGGGGCAACAAATCATAAAACGTCAATGAGGCTTTAAACTAGTCTAACCAAACAATTATTTTCTTCCTTTATGTTTGCCTTTTTTTTTCTGTAAGAGCCTCTGCCAGAGCTCCTGTTGGTGCTGCTCAACCAAACTAAACTCGTACCATGTTTAATAAGCCTCAGTTTATCTTTGAATAGTTCTGGTTGTAAGAGGAACTTTTGATCAGAAAAGGAAACTGAAGGAGACCACCTGTGGCCCCCAAGAGCATGGAGCAATCAGAAGAAGGTAACCTGACCCTTAAGCTAACTGTTTTCTAGCTGCTTCTGGAGGTCACAAATACAGTAAATCCCTTTGGATCCCAGTTCTGCCACTTTTGTGTTGAGTTGTCAGACTTTATCTGAGAACTTCGTCTCCAGACTAGGTCCAGATCCAACCAGAGTTAGACTGGATCTGACTTAAAAATTAGATTAGGTCCAGGGTTTGACTGGGTCTGACTTAAACTGGACCAGATGTAGTGTGGGGCCTCAGGTAAAATTTTTTTCTTTTAAGGATGAACAAGCAGGTTATCCTTAGGTCATAGTGAATTACTATGGCCACAGTGGAGAATTTGTTACCTTGATAAGCTTACCTATTTCTAAGGTGCCTTAGAGAAAAAGGAGTCTTAGCATAGCAATTACTGCAAAGCAAGCATGTCAAACTCAAAGGCTAACATGGGCCAAATAAATAAGGTTTAAGTTTATCTGGGCCGCCAAAAAACAAAAGCTTAAATTTTTATAGGAACATAGTTTTATTTCAATAGAGACATGCTGAATACACAGGGCTGAAATAAATGAGTCATCATTAACATAAAATAATAGAACATTTTAATAATTAATATATTTTTCTTTATATATATATATATATATATATATATATATATATATATATATATATATATAATTGATTTTTTTACAGAGAGGAAGAGAGAGGGATAGAGAGTTAGAAACATCGGTGAGAGAGAATCTTCAATCAGCTGCCTCTTGCACACCCTCTACTGGGGATGTGCCTGCAACCAAGGTATATGCCCTTGACCAGAATCGAACTTGGGACCGTTCATTCTGCAGGCCAATGTTCTACCCACTGAGCCAAACAGGTTTTGGCTAATATTTTTTCTTGAACATTAACTTACCAGACACTGAATAACTGCGCAAATTAATAAGAGTAATGCAAATAAACCTATTTTTCTTGTTCTTTGAAAGCAAAATAGTTCCTGTTGTGCACATCAAACAAGTCAGTATAAGACCAATGATGAGGCAATTGGTTGGTAAAATATTCGCTACTAGTATTAGTAGAGAGAAATGGTATGCCTGCACGTAAGGCGTGTAAGGGAAATGAATGGAATACAATTATAGTAATCAGTCATTAGTGAACGTTGTAGTTCATTATTAATAATTACTAAGGGCCCAGTGCACAAAATCATGCACCTTGAAAGGAACTGTGACCATGAGGCTGCAGTGGTCAAGAAGGGTGGGTCTGGGCCCATCCTCCATTCCCCCGCCTGGCTCCCCTGCTGCAGTCCCTGGTCCCATCTGCCTGCAGGACCCCTCCCACCACCACTGCTCCCATGTGCTGATGGCACTAGCCCTGCTCACAACCAGTGATGGTGCAGAGAAATTGAGGCTGGCGCCAATAGTGGGTGCAAGTGGGGCCGGTGCTGTCAGCTTATGTGAGTGGCAGCTGCTGCCCTTATTGCCCCTCAGGGGCTGGGGGAGGTAAAGAAGCCCTCAGAGTTGATGGGGACCCGCAGTGTGCACTGGCAACAGGTGCAAGTGGTAGCTCCAGTGCCAGCTGCAGGTGCGAGTGGGGCCATAGCAGGCAGATAGTATGAGAGGTAGCTGCTGGCCCCAATCACCCCTCAGGAGCAGGGGGAGGTGGAGAAGCCCTGAGGGTCAATTGGGGCCGGCAGCTGCTGCTCACACCTGCTGACAGAGCTGAGCAATTAAGGCCAGTGGCGGGTGCTTGTAGCAGGTGCGAGTGGAGCCAGTGCTCACAGCAGATGTGAGCATGGGGTGGGACTGTGACACATGGAAGCAAAGAATTTTCAGTAACCACAAGAGGCTCTCCCTGATCATAGTGACAGGCACCCCTCCTTGGTCTGGCACCACTGCTCACCTGTCTAGCATCCCGCCTGCTACCAATGCTGCCATCTTCTGCACAAACCCCCTGGTGGTCAGTGCACATCATAGTGACCAGTTATTTGACTGCTTGGTTGTTCTGCTGTTCAGTCTATTTGCATATTAAGCTCTTATATATAGATAGATGTATAAGAGGATATTGTAAAAATAAAGTTGTGAAATTTTTATTGAAAAGTTTCTTACATACATTTATATTGGCTGTGCCACAAAAATATTTATTGTGGGCCACATGCAGCCCATGGACTGTGAGTCTGATATGCTTGCTGTAGAAGGGTAGAGAAAAAATTATTTTTCTTCTTCTTTAGTTTCTGATGATCATCATGAGACCTGCTGGAACAGCCTACAGAGAATATTTTTGGAAAACTGGCAGAATCCATCAAAAGGTGAGAATTCTTACCAAATTCAGTTATCTAGATTTCTATCTATGATGCCTGGTTGAGAGAGGAAGGCAAATTTTATGTTGCCATTTCCTTTCTAAATTCAGATTTGCAGGGGGGGTGGGGTGGGAATTGTTAGAATTAGAGCTTTAAACTGTGTCTTGTGAATTTGGTTTTTGGTTCTCATTAGTTATAAGTGTTTTCTTTCCCAGAGATAGTTATAACCTTCTTACCTGTTTCATTTTTTTGTGTGATGAGAATTTGGCTTAGCAGTCATCAGGTTGGAGGCCCCAAAACTATGGCTGGACAAAGATGTGGGTTGCACCCCATTTATGGATAGTTATGGATGAAGAGAAATGTGAGTTGCACTCCATTTGCATGTGAGGATCCTTATAAACTATTTCCATATCTCAAAAGGAATGTTCTAAGACTTTATATCTTTTAAGTATCTTTGGGAGTGGCTCTTATTTTTAGATCTTGGATGGGCAGTATCTTTTGCACCCTCTTTTGGAGTGCCTCTTGCATTTGTGAAGGTTGTTTAATACTCCCACGAATATTTACAGTTTATCCCAGCTGAAACCTGACAAGATGTTTGAAAGTTACCCACATTGGAAACTGATATTTATAACCTAATAGAAACTTTAAAAACATGTTTATATATATATTAAGTTCCTCCTTAAACTAAAATAAAACAATGTACCCAAAAGGGGAAAAAACAAAAACAAAAAAACACCACATTCTGAAACTATTGTTGAGGATTAATTGAAACAGTCCAAAGATGCACATCTTTAAATCTAGAACATAAAAATCTTTTGTCTTCCATCTTAAAGATCCTCTCCTTGCTACAAATAAGCAAATGGGTAATTATTTTGTTGGAAGTGTGTGTCAGTCTCTTGATAGCAATTCTTTAAGAATTTAAAAAAGATTTTTCTATAAATCAAGTCTTTACAAGAACAGAAATGTGGCTATAAAAACAGTTCAAAGCCAAATCACAGAATCTCCTGTAAAAGTTTTTTTTTTTTTTTAAACATACTATTCTGCCTGACTGGCATGACTCAGTGGTTGAGCTTCAAATTAGGAACTAGGAAGTCAAGGTGCAATCTCCAATCAGGGCTCATGGCTGGTTTTCAGGCTTCATCTCCATGTGTGGCTTGCACGAGGAAACCAAACAATGATTCTCTCTCATCTTTGATGTTTCTATCTCCCTCTCCCTTCCTCTTTGAAATCAACTTTAAAATTACTTTAAAAAGTACTATTCCACACACTATATATGTTTCTCTAGCTGGGAGAATAATCAAATTACCAGAGTTACAAAAGAAAATCAAATTTTAACACATGCTCACAGGCAACTCACATAAGTATGGAAATTCCAAAGACAGTGAGAAAAAAATGAGTATATATGTCAGTTAGGACAAAGGAAAAAAGTGGAATAGCGGTTTGACATTTCAAAGGAAGTATGCAATTTACAGGTAGTTGAGGAAGAGCACAACATACATGGCAGGTAAATTTATTCCCTTCCTTTGTCTATGAATAACTAGCTACATATGCCAACACTATCATCCAATGTAGTCAGCAAAACTTCAAACTTTCAAGTTATCAGACACCTAGAAAATTAATTTCTAGTATATATATAACTATTGCTAAAAAATGTTACCTAAAAATCTTATTAACCCCTATTTCCTTTATTAACTTGCAAAAACAGTATGAAATTTCAAAGTCAATTATTATACAAGCTATTTTATTGACTAACTTTGTAACTGAGATAATCTGAACATATTTTTATAAAACCAGGTTAAACAAAAATATACTAGTATACTGTTAGACAGACATGAGCAGAACAAGGATAATGGGCCAGGTATAGAAGGTCACCAGGGCAGAAAGTCATGGATGCCTACCAAGTGATGAAATTGGGAAAATAAGAGCCTCACCCCCAGAGTAATCTATTCTCCCGTTTCATATCACTTGTCATGCAGTTTGTACCCTGATCTTTCATATCAATGGTCAGGCTATTTAGACCCCCTGACCTTTTTCTCTCTAAAGATAACATCCAGGCCTCAGTTGTATTTCAGCTCCAGGCCCAGAAAAGCAGCAAAACCAGACAAGTAACACTGTGGGTGTCTCATGACCAGCTACATTGACTAATGACCCCTTTCCCAGGCACCAATCGATCAGTGGAGATCACCACACGGAAAGAGCACAGCTCCTCTGAGACCTCCCCTAAGATTTCCACCTGCAAGAAAGAGATAAATATGCTCAGGACAAGGGACCCAGTGCTCGCTCTCCATTAAGGGAACATGCACATGCCATTCCTCAACAGGGACATATCCCCCAACTTCTAAGGGACCCCAGGAGTCTTACAACAAGGAGAAAGATGGACAGTAGCAGCTTGTCCTAGGCTAACCCCCTGAACCTGTCTCCAATGCCCCCTTTTCTATGACTTCTCAATGAGTCAATGCAGCCCAACCTAGGCTCTCCTGTTGCTTCTTGCTTCTTCTATGTCTTTCCATGTTTCTCTGTCCTAAGTATCCTAAAAAAAAACAAAAAAAAACACAAATATATATATATATATATATATATATATATATATATATATATATATATATATATATAATTTATTTTTACAGAGAGGAAGGAAGAGGGATAGAGAGCTAAAAACATAGATAAGAGAGAAACATTGACCAGCCACCTCCTGCACACCCCACACTGGGGATGTACCCACAACCAAGGTACGTGCCTTTGAATGGAATCAAACCTGGGACCCCTCAGTCCACAGACCGACGCTCTATCCACTGAGCCAAACTGGTTTTGGCTTAAGTATCTTTTTGCTGCCATCATGGACCCAGTACCCTTTGTCTAAGTGCTCTGTAGCCATTCCCTTTGGATATCCCAACTCTCAATCCTCTTTTCTTTAAATAAATTCAATTTCTCACCATCACTATTTAGCCTGCCAGTGTACCACCTTTTACATGTTATCCTAACAACTCTAAAAGACATGTCTACTTAATCAAAGCAAACTTAAACCAGCTCTAATCTAAAATATTTTTTCAGATCATATTGAGTAGATAGAAGGAATCTAGGCAATCAGGGACAGGGATGGGACCATGGGGGAGGGTATGGGGGATGAGGACTGGGAGTGGAACATTGCAGACATAGGCATAATAGAGCTTGATAACTTCACCACCAAGACAAAGTAACCTAGCACTTAGCCCAGTTGGTAGGAGTTACTAAGGCAACTCAGCTGGGTAGGGAAAGAAGACCTTGCCAGGGAAATGTTAATTTTGAAATGTATGGATGTTGCTAAGGCATAATTCTTTGAAAGGACCAATCAGGATCTAGGAAAACATATATCTACCTCTAGACAAAGAAGCACACTTGTTCCTCTCTTCTCTCTCTGGTGCACTGGGTTCCTGGGTCTCCTATGACAGGGGATATGCTCTCCTGTGCCCACTTGGGTTATGGACATGTGGGACTCCACACATGGCCTGATGAAATTTCATTAGCTTGCACTCTGATCTACACTCAACTGCAACACAGAGTATGGAAGCTCTGGACACTGGACTGCTTTTGGCTCTCCTGGAACTCCAGATGCATCTTTTCCAGCATTGCCTCAAGGGGCATGAGATTTTGGAACCTGAGACAAAGTAGTTTCATTGGCAACCCTCTTGGGCCACCTCCCTGCTACTCCCTGCTGCAGGGAGTCCATCTCTCAATAAACTTTGCTTCCACTAACCATTTTTGTCTGCAAACTCATTCTTCAATTTTGTGAAACAACAAACTCATACCCAACTGGACATTTTGATGTACTGGCACCTCTATTATATGTATGTTGCTTCATTTCATGTTGTCCCATAGCTCCCTCAGGCTCTCCCCCTGTCTTTTGATTTTTTTCTCCAATTGCAGTTCTGATTAGGTGTATTTTGCTTCCCTATCTTCTAATTTGCTGATTCAGCCCTCCACTGCTCCTAGTCTACTGTTGAAAGCTTCCATGTTGTTTTTATTGTAGCTGTACTACTCTTTATTTCCTCCTGATTCTTACATAGGTTGTTAATTTTATCACCCATCTGGTTTATGAACTGTATTACCCTCACTCTGAATTCTTTTTCTGACATATTGCATACCTCAATTTCATTCAGTTCCTTTTTTGACAATTCCTTTTCTTTCCCCATTTTTGCTCTCACCAAAGGATCTAGGTGTCAAGTCACACTGGGCCTGTGGCTGCAGTTGTGGGCTTGGTGGCAGGTCATGTGGTCACGGGTGGTATCTACTCCTCAGGTGGTCATGGGGTCGTGGCTGCTCCTCATGTGGACTTGGGGTGGCTGCTCCTCAAGAGGTCATGGGATGGCTGCTACTCATATGCCAACCAGAAAATTTAGCATCATCAATATGTTCCTGAAATGTATTTTGGTTAGTCATATTTTTTAACTTATTTAAGTGCTTAATTCCTTTAAGTCTAACACATACTACAAACCAATACACTCAGAGGTAGAAAAAAATAATATCACATATAAAATATAATAACACAGAGATCAAAATGTTAATTGAATAAGTAATTGTAGAGAAGGCACAATATTTTTAAATATATATTTTATTGATTTAAAAAAGGTAGGGAGAAGGAGAGAAACATCAAGGAGAGTAAACCATTGATTGACTGCCTCCTGCCTACTCCACACTGGGGATGGAGCCTGCAACCCAGCTATGTGTCCTGACTGGGAATTAAGCCATGACCTTCTGGTTCATGGGCTGACACTAAACCACTGATTCACACTGGGTTAAAAATATGAGCAAGGGTAAAGAGAGAAGGATAGGCATGGAGATCTCAGCAACTTGTGTTTTAAAGATGCACTTTTTCAATTTTTTTCCTTCAGTTTCTTTAATTTCATGGAGTTATGGAGTCTGTTTACATTTCTAATTACACATTAAAAATATTTTTTATTGATTTCAGAGAAGCAGGAGAGGGAGAAAGAGATAGAAACATCAATGATGGAAAGAATTATTGATATTGATTGGCTGCCTCCTGCACGCCTCCTACTAGGGATCAAGCTCACAACCTGGGCATATACCCTTGACTGGAATCAAACCTGGGATGCTTCCATCCTCAGGCCAACCATCTAGCCACTGAGCCAAACTGGGTAGGACCTAATTATGCATTTTAAAAAATTTTCTATTAGATTATAAAAAAAATAGCTTCCAATTTTGTCAACTTTTGTTCAGTTATTAAATTATTTAAAACCTGTTAAAATATATCCGTTTTGATAATTTTATATCTGAATAATCTTTAAAAATTATCTACCCTGTTGGAAAATCTCTTGATTTTCTTTTGTATCTTCCAATTCTCCTGTTAATTAACCTAACATTTGTAAGATCCAAGTACCTTAAATAGGAAATTCAAAAGCTTAAGACTAGTTATATTTCTTTACATTTTTTTTCTTTTTAAATGTTGAGCAATTGTTCTTCCAAAATCCTAATTTTTTATAATATTTGAAAATATATGAATGTAAGAAAAAAAAATGGGGGTTCTGAGTGGATTTTTATTTTTATTCTAATTTCTGTCTTTTCATCATAGGGAATCTTAATGGCTAACAGTATGAAAGATTTCAAAACTTTTTAATTTGTGGTATTTTTTATTACAAATATCAATTTTCTAGTCAGTGACAGTATAATTTCAATAGTGACTCAAGCACAAAAGCCTTTTTTTTACAGCTTAACCAAGGAAGCAAAATGCATCCACAGAGTGTGCAAAGGATACAGCTGCCACAGATCCAAAAGTTCATGCCCATAGTTAGTTAAAATATATTGGGCAGGAGGGTTTGTCTTTCAACAGCTTTTACAAAACACAAGGAATCATTTGCTTACCTCTTTGGATCCACAGCCTATTCATCAGCTTGACAGATATATATAAATCATCCAACTGGAAGAAATAATAAGCCATCTCTGCAAAGAACAGAATAAACAAAACAAGATTATTCAAATAAAGACTTTATTAGAGTTGTGTTTGCCCAAGACACTAGTTTTATAAATACTTTCTTTTTCTAATTAAAGTAGGCCAAAAAAGCAGAATATGAATTTTTTGAATAGGAAAAGGTATGTAGATGTTGCTCTTTCTTAAAAATAAAAGAGGCCAGACATCCTCCAAGGGGTCCCAGATTGGAAAGGGTGCAGGCTGGACTGAGGGACATCCTCAGAATTTCATGCACCAGGCCTTTAGTGTTAAATAAGAAATATTTCTGCTGAAGCCTGTTTGACTCAGTGGAAAGAGTGTCGTTCTGTGGACTGAAAGGTCCCAGATTTGATTCCAGTCAAGGGCATGTATCTTGGTTGTGGGCACATTCTCAGAGGGAGGTGTGCAGGAGGCAGCTGATCAAAGTTTCTCTCTCACTGATGTTTCTAACTCTCTATCCCTCTCAATTCCTCTCTGTAAAAAAAAAAAAATCAATAAAATATATTAAAAAAAACAAATATTTTTTATTCTTCTTATAATAGGACACAATTGGAAGGATCAGTTATAGTACCAAGGCTTTGACAGAAATTGCATATTTGAGAATATACATAAACTAAGATATTATCAGTTTGAAAAAACTAAGCTTGGCTTTATAGAGCTAATAAAGCTTTTCAAAAATCCAAGCCTGGTTGCTTGCTCACAGAACTCCTGGCAGCCTTACCAGGAGAGTAAGGAAGGTCATTTTTCTGCAAGTCCAGGGACTACAAGAAAACAATGAAAGAGGAATAAACATAAATCTATAGGTATTCCACACAGAGTCCAATGGCAAGTCCTTTGCTTGGAAAGTCCAATCTAAGATTCCTCATGAAAAGTTCCAGCAAAGAACACTTTATAAGAACCTATATAGCCAATCCCTATTCTTGCTGCACTTACACAAATTATTGGACCAAATTTAATGAGAAGAAACTTATTTTGCAAATAAATTAGTCTTATTGTGACTATCATTAATATAAACAAGAGTGATTGTAGAGAAAAAAAAAATGCATCTTTCAGCAGAAACCATAACATAGCTCTGGTTATCAGATTGTAGTTCCGTTCATTGTCTTTGAGGTTTTACTATATATCTATAAACTGGTCTTGATCTTTAATTGTTCTAGTTTCCTCAAATACCTGGCTATGATTCTACAAAATAACTCTTCCAACTTATACCACCCTTCTTACTTGGAATCACTAAGAACAGGTTTCTTTGAACCTCTTTGAAAGAAACCATAGCAGGTCTTCTTCACTACCCAGACAGTATACAAACTTGAGGGACTTGAACCTTGGATGCACATTTCCAAACTTAAAAAAGCTCCCACTAACACTTTTAACTTCGCATTAGTTGGAAAGTTAAATTAAAATTGAGGAGGGAGGTTCCTCTCCAAAATAAGATGACATATTAAGGTGGACAGCTCTCCTAAGATCACAGATCAAGACATCCTATCTAATAAAAGAATAATATGCAAATTGACCCTCACTCCAACACACAAGATGGCTGCCCCCATGTGGACACAAGATGGCTGCCACAAAATGGACGGCAGGGGAGGGCAGTAGGGAGGGACCAGGCCTACAAGGGTTGGGAGTTGGGAGCAGTCAGGCTTGCAGGGGAGGACAGTCGGGGGGAACCCAGGCCTGCAAGGGAAGACAGTCAGGGGTGACCAGGCCCACAAAGGAGAGCAGTTGGGGTGACCAGGCTGAAGGGGACGGCAGTTAGGGGTGACCAGGATTGCAGGGGAGGGCAGTTGAGGGGGACCATGCCTGCAGGGGAGGGAAGTTAGAGGTGACCAGACCTGCAGGGAGGACAGTTAGGGGCAACCAGGCTAGCAGGAGAGGGAAGTTCTTGGGGACCCAGGCCTTCAGGGGAGGGCTGCTGGCGGGGGGGACCAGATCTACATGGAAAAGCAGTTGGTAGGGGGTACCAGGCTGGCAGGAGAGGGCAGTTAGGGGCAATCAGACAGGCATGGGAGCAGTTAGTCATCAATCACGCAGACAGGTGAGCAGTTTGGAGCCAGCATTCTTGGATTTTGAAAGGGGTTCCAGACTGGAGAGGTGCAGGGTGGGCTGAGGGACACCTCCCCGCCACACACACTGTGCATTAATTTCATGCACCGGGCCTCTAGTTTCAATACAAAGGTTCATTCCTTTTGCCTTTTCATTATTTGCTTTTTTATCTCCATTAATACATGGGCGGACACTGCTTCTTAACTTTGGCAATTATCCCTTAATCTACTGCTAAGCCTATTGCTACACATTAAAAGTCACTAGGCTTTATTGCTATAGTGGTTTTAGATGCTAGAATTTCTTTAGATTACTTGTTGGCTAAACAAAGAGGAATTTTTACCATAGCAAACAGCCCCTGCTATACCTAGATCAACACCTCTGACAAATAGAAGGAATTAACAGAAAAGCAACTTGGCTAAGACAGTTTGATGCCTCTTCAGGTATATTTTTTATTTAGTTAATATCAACTGGTTTAGTTCATGGGAGCCCTTGCCAAGAAGAGTACTTCAGTCTCCTGGTATAATATTCCCAATAGTCTTCTTTGTAGTCTCCCTGGTGTGATTTGTTCTCTCAAAGGCCTTAAGCATGCTCACAGCCACCAGTAGTGCTGCAGATGACCTCACTTGATATCCTATACTTGCAGAAATAGAAACTGGACAAACAGTGAGTTGAACCAAAAACAATTCTTCCACCAAAACTCATAACCTGTGAGTTTCACAATGAGACAAGAGAAACTTAACTCTGATGGTAACTGTGAATGATGATAATATTAAATTTCTGGTAAATCTGTCACATATGAGAGGAGGACAAAAATGGGGGAATTGTTAAATTAGTTAAACAAGGAGCCCTGTAAACTAAGTTGCTCTAACATACTTTAGCAAACCAAAATATAATCCTGCAAATGTCACAAGGTTAATACATTAAAACTTAAGGATGACCAATAACAAACAGCCAACTAGGCTTTAAGCTATGGCCAGTTAATACTTTCCTTCTGCCTTTTCTCTATAATTAAAGTCTCTTTCTGATCTGCTGTTTGATGAGTACTTCTAACCACTTTCTTTTTTAGATTGCCCAATTCAAGCTGATTTTTGTTCAATTAAACTCTTAAATATTTTTATTGCCTCAGTTTATCTTTTAACAATATATCTTCTAAATATGTTTGCCATTTTATATTTAACTAGACAGAAATTGAACTCTACATTTTCTAGTTTCATATATTTCAAGCAAAAATTGAGATGAATTCAATTTTGCACTGGGTTTGAAATAGTTTTTGGCTTTTAATATATATTCAAGTCTTTTGCAATATTAAGTTACAATTTTTAACATTACAGAAGGAATTTTTACACTACAATTGGTTGAAGATTATATTAGTACCAACTACACTAATAAAAAACAAATATGCAAATTGAACATAACTCCACAATGCCCACCAGCCAATCGGGAGTGAGTATGCAAATTAATCCAAGAAACATGGCTGGTTAATTTGCATATGCAGGCACAGAGAGGCCTGGATGCCTGCTATGAGGTGGAGGGCAGGAGGCAGTGGGAGCTACAGCAGCAGTGCTCTGGCCAGAGCAGAGAAGACTGAAGGGTCCAACTGGAGTGAAGACTCCAGCCAGAGTAAAGACAGAAGGCAGTAGCCAGAGTGAAGGCCTAGGTCCTGGGAGCCAGAAGAAAACCAGTGCTGGCAGCCAGGGGAAGGAAGGCCTATTGCACGAATCTTAGTGCAACAGGCCTCTAGTTTTATATAAGAAAATAACAGTATGGATATTTTTTTTTTTCTGGGAGCAATGTTTTTAAACCACTTAAAAATTTCATGTTTACCCTTCAAATGAAGAATTAATACAAATAAGCATTCTCTAATCTCTTGATTCAAATGCTTTTTTTGGTCATACTGATTTCACAGGCTTTTTTTTTGTTTTGTTGTGGGTTTTCTTTTGTTTTGTTTTTTTAGACATTGTAACAAATGAATTGCCTACATAGAATATTTTTAATAGCTTCCCATTTTTACAATAGGTATAAAGTCATTTCTCAGAGAAATCTTTTTTTTTTTTTTTAAATATATTTTATTGATTTTTCACAGAGAGGAAGAGAGAGGGATAGAGAGTTAGAAACATCAATGAGAGAGAATCATTGATCAGCTGCCTCTTGCACACCCCCTACTGGGGATGTGCCCACAACCAAGGTACATGCCCTTGACCAGAATCGAACCCGGGACCTTTCAGTCCCCAGGCCGACGCTCTATCCACTGAGCCAAACTGGTCCCGGCATTTCTCAGAGAAATCTTTAAAAAGCTTTTTATGGAACTCTCATTAAACCCAGCAGATAGAAGATTGCTCTTGAGCTGTAAACAACCCAAAATAAAAAAAAGAGGAGATTCCTTTTCATATGGGTATTTCTGAAGTATTGTGCTTTTCTTTGGCAGTACAGAATACCTCATAGATATCCTACTCTTCAACCAAAAGTGAAAATTTTTAACAGACAAAAAAGGTGAAACACATTCAGTTTGACATTCTTTATTTTAACCTTTCCCTAAATCTCAAGATTTCTCTATAGTCAGATTCCTATTATCTAAAGCACATGTGTCAAACACAAGGCCCGCGGGCCAAATCCGTCCCGCCAGGCCTTGCAATGTGGCCCGCACCGCGCTGTCATCACTGCACTCCGCTGCGTTTCCATCACAATGACAGTTTATGACTGTTCAGTAAACCATTTGGCCCGCTATTTAGGCTGGATTTTAGATTTTGGCCCCTTCTCTGATTGAGTTCGACACCCTAAAGCCTAAGCTCTCTTCTCCAGAGTCTAAGAATATGCTACACCTGTACCTTCTTGAAGCTTCCCTGTCCTCTACTTCTTTCATCTCTAGAGGGTCACACTTGCTATTCATTTGAAGATGAAGTAATATCAATGACATTGTGGAAGAAAACTATATTTGTGGCCTAATGCTTCACTATTTTATTCATGGGCCAACAACATCAGTGTTGAGGAAAAATTTCCAGATTTTCAGAACGGAAGAACAGCATTATGATAATCAAGTAAAAGAGCTATTTTAGAGTGTATGAGATTGCTTAAGATTCCCAAATAATTATTATGTTTCTGTATCTGTCAAATTCAATGTTTGAGAAGAAAGAAACTAACATTTACTAAATATTTACAATGTTCCAGGTCCTGGGAACTTAGCAAATTAAGTGAAGATACTTATATCCTACTTTTCCAATAGTTTATGGAGAGTCTTTATCCCTATTGTCCAGTTGAGACAATTAAGTCTCATGTAGGAAAGAATAATATTGGGAAAAACGGTAACTCCTGGAAATAGGCTATTATAACAAAAGTAATGATTTTTGGATTTATCACCTCGGACAACTTTTTTAACCTCTTTCTGCTTCAGTTTATCATCTATAAAATGGAGATAATAAAAAAAAAATACAGTATATTCCAGTGTATAAGACAACACTGTGTTCTAGTAGAAAGCCTGCTCAGATTGGCCAGAGTCAGAGAGGCGGTCTAATAAAGAAAGAACGTGTTGCCATGGAAGAGGGGGATAGTCTTAAATAGCGAATACAGGCCTAAACCTATGTTTGGACTGTAAAATTAGAGGGTCGTCTTATACGCCGGAAAAGACGGTACTGTACCACTGTACCCTACACATGTAATATTTTTCTTTAATTTTCATTTAACAATAAATGTGCACAATATTCTTCTTCATGGCGAAATAAGACAATCCCTAAAAAAAAAGACCTAGCTCACCTTTTCGAGCTAAAATTAATATAAGACAATATCTTAATTTCCGGGAAACAGGGTACCTCAGTAGGGGCGAGTAAGTGCCCCCAGAGTAGAAAGTGATTTCGGGCGACTTGACACAGCTCTCACCCAGATGGCAAAGCCCATAGACAGGTCGTGGGGGTCACAGGATACTCCGTTGTGAGATACCCCGTGGTGTGGGCGGTGGGGGCCTCAGAAGCTCACAGAAGCCAATAGCGGTCCAAAAGGGGGGTCTGGCCTCCCCATGCTTGTGGACCTGGGCCATGGTGGGAGGCAATCTTTGAACAGAAGGAAATCTTCCCTGGAGCTTTTAGGCATAGAACAACATTTCCAGAGGTGGGGGGTAGCCTTCCACTAACCACCCCCCATCCCCAGTTTGATGAGCAGGGCAACCTGGCCAGTGCTGGTCACTCATTGGACCAATGAATAAGGGGGCGGGGTTTCTGGAATAAGGGGGCAGGGCCAGGTGAAAGGCAGGCAATTGTGACCTAAGGTAGAGAAAGGCTGGTCTCCAGGGATACTTGCAGGTGGGAAGCAGGGCGTGGGAGGGGGGAAGGAGTGCTTGCCATGAGGCCTGCTGACAGGCAGCAGCCACCTTAAGAAGGAGGCTGGGGTTTTGGGGGGCGGCTCAATGATCAGCCAAAAGTGGCCTAGCCAAGAATGGATTGGGGCCAGAGGCAACACTCAGAAGTGGTCCAGTGGATAAGGCCATGGGGCCCTGTGAATGACGATGGGGGTCCACAGTGGCCGCAAAAGCACCATCTTCCCCTGTTCCAGACTGGATGCCAGCAAGAAGGTCCCTTGTCCTCAGGGAAAGGCTTTCCCCAAGAATGAGGCAGAAAGCTCGCCCGCAGGGCCCAGCGACCAGTAAGTACTGCATTTCCCTGAAAATAAGACATCTTCCGAAAATAAGAACTACTTGCAGGTTTCCTTCTGAATGAAATGTGAGTAGTCCCCCTAAAAAAGCCCTCCCCCGCTTATCCCTAGGCCAAACATGAGAGTTTGTGTCCCCTGATTCTGAAAGAAATCGAGTCACAAGAAATACACCCGGGAATTCAGGAACTGGATTGTTCTGATCATGTTCAAAAGATGTTGACATGATTGTCATTGAATAAATGAGTAAATTCTTGATACTGTAGTTTTCTCAGTTTTTCGGATTTCTGTTGACAACTACCGTATTGTCTTGCATATAAAACCACTCTGTGTTCTAGTAGAAAGCCTGCTCGGATTGGCCAGAGTCACAGAGGCGGTCTAATAAAGAAAGAACGTGTTGCCATGGAAGTTGGGGATAGTCTTAAACAGCGAATACAGGCCTAAACATATGTTTTAACTGTAAAATTAGAGGGTCGTCCTATACGCCGGAAAAGACAGTACTGTACCACTGTACCCTACACATGTAATAATTTTCTTTAATTTTCATTTAACAATAAATGTGCACAATATTCTTCTTCATGGCAAAATGAGATAATCCCTAAAAAGAAGACCTAGCACACCACTTGGAGCTAAAATTTATATAAGACAATATCTTAATTTTGGGAAACAGGGTACCTCAGTAGGGGCGAGTAAGTGCCCAGAGAGTAGAAAGTGATTTTGGGGGACTTGACACAGCTCTCTCCCCGATGTCAATGTCTATAGACAGGGCCATGGGGTTCGCAGGACATTCTGTTGTGAGATACCGCATGGTTTGGGTTGTGGGTCCCTCAGAGGCTCAGAGAGGCCAATGGCTGTCCAAAAGGGGGGGCTTGGCTCACCATGCTTGTGGACCTGGGCCCTGGTAGCAGGCAACCTGTGAACAGAAAGACATCTTCCCTGGAGCTTTTAGGCATAGAACAAGTCTTCCAGAGGTGGGGGGTAGCCTTCCACTAACCACCGCCCCCCCCGCCCCCCCAGTTTGAAGAGCAGGGCAACCTGGCCAGTGCTGTTCACTCATTGGTCCAATGAATGAGGGGGCGGGGTTTCTGGAACAAGGGGGCAGGGCCAGGTGAAAGGCAGGCAATTGTGACCTAAGCAGGAGAAAGGCTGGTCACCAGGGATAATTGGAGGTGGGTAGTTGTGGGGGACAGGGGGGAAGGCCTGCTGGCGGTTTGGCCTGCTGCCAGGCAGCAGCCACCTAAACAAGGAGGCTGGGGTTTTGGGGGGCTGGCTCAATGATCAGCCAGAAGCTGCCAAGGCAAGAATGGATTGGGTCCAGAGGCAACACTAGGAAGTGGTCCAGTGGATAAGGCCATGAGGCCAAGTGAATGAGGATGGGGGTCCCCAGTGGCCGCAAAAGCCCCATCTTCCCCTGGTCCAGACTGGATGCCAGAAAGAAGGTCCCTTGTCCTCAAGGAAGGACTTACTGGAGAATGCAGCAGAAAGCTCGCCCTCAGGGCCTAGCGACTAGTAAGTACTGCATTTCCCTGAAAATAAGACATCCTCTGAAAATAAGAACTACTTGCAGGTTTCCTTCTGAGTGAAATGTGAGTCATCCCCCTAAAAAAAGCCATTCCCCCTAGGCCAAACATGAGAGTTTGGATCCTCTGATTTTGAAAGAAATCGAGTCAGAAGAAATTCACCAGGAAATTCATGAATTGGATTGTTATGATCACGTTCAAAAGATGTTGACATGATTGTCATTGAATAAATGAGTAAATTCTTGATACTGTAAGATTCTCAGTTTTTTGGATTTGTGTTGACAACTACCGTATTTTCTTGCATATAAGACCACTCTGTGTTCTGGTAAAAATCCTGCTCAGATTGGCCAGAGTCAGAGAGGAGGTCTATTAAAAAAAAGAACTGGCATTGTCTTGGAAGTGGGGTGTAGACTTATACAGCGAATATAGGCCTAACCCTATGTTTTATCTGTGAAATTAGGGGGTCGTCTTATACGCCGGAAAAGACGGTACTGTACATCCCTACTCTACTCATGTAATAATTTTCCTTCATTTTCATTTAACAAGAAATGTGCACCTATTCTTCCTCTTGGAAAAATAAGACAATCCCTGAAAATCAGACCTAGCACACCTTTTGGAGCAAAAATTAACATAAGACAATATCTCATTTTCAGGGATACAGGGTACCTCAGTAGGGGTGAGTCAGTGCCCCCAGAACGGAAAGTGATTTTGGGGGACCTGACACAGCTCTCTCACCTATGTCAATGCCCATAGACAGGGCCCTGGGTGTCCCAGGATACTTCGTTGTGAGATACCCAGTGGTGTGGGCGGTGGGGGCCTCTGAGGCTCAGGGAGGCCCATGGCTGTACGAAAGCGGGGGCAGGCCTCCCCATGCCTGAGGACCTGGGCCCTGGGAGGCAGGCAACCTGTGAGCAGAAGGACATCTTCCCTTAGTGCTTTTAGGCCCTAAACAAGGCTTCCAGAGGTGGAGCAGTAGCTCTCCACTCACCAACCCAGCCCCAGATTTGAGGAGCAGGGCAGGTTGGCCAGTGCTGCTTGCTCATTGGTCCAATGAATGATGGGGCTTGGTTTCTGTAACAAGGGGGCAGTGCCAGGTGAAAGGCAGGCAATTGTGACCAAAGAAGGAGAAAGGCTGGTCACCAGGGATACCTGGAGGTGGGAAGGGGGGGGGGGGGGGAGGGGGGGAAGGAGTGCTAGGGGTGAGGTCTGCTGCCAGTCAGCAGCCACCTAAACAAGGAGGCTGGGGTTTTGGGGGGCTGGCTCAATGATCAGCCAGAAGCGGCCAAGCCACGAATGGATTGGGGCCAGAGGCAACAGTCGGAATTGGTCCAGTGGATAAGGCCATGGGGCCCTATGAATGAGGATGGGAGTCCCCAGTGTCCTCAAAAGCCCCATCTTCCCCTGGTCCAGACTGGATGCCAGCAAGAAGGTCCCTTGTCCTGAAGGAAGGGCTTTCCCCGAGAATGTGGCAGAAATCTCCCCCTCAGGCCCAGCAACCAGTAAATACTTCGTTTCCCTGAAAATAAGACATCATCCGAAAATAAGAACTACTTGCAGGTTTCCTTCTGAGTGAAAAGTGAGTACTCCTTCTAACCCCCCCTCTTCCCCCTAGGCCAAACATGAAAGTTTGGGTCCCCTGATTCTGAAAGAGATTGAGTCACAAGAAATTCACCAGGAAATTCAGGAATTGGATTGTTATGATCATGTGCAAAAGATGTTGACATGATTGTCATTGAATAAATGAGTAAATTCTTGATACTGTAGGATTCTCAGTTTTTCAGATTTGTGTTGACAACTACAGTATTGTCCTGCGTATAAGACCACTCTGTGTTCTAGTAAAAAGCATGCTCAGATTGGCCAGAGTCTATTAAAAAAAAGAACTGGTGTTGCCTTGGAAGTGGGGGATAGACTTATACAGCGAATATGGGCCTAAACCTGCCGGAAAAGACGGTACTGTACCACCTTAACTTACACATGTAACAATTTTCCTTCATTTTCATTTAAAAAGAAATGTTCACCGTATTCTTCTTCATGGAAAAATAAGACAATCCTGAAAATCAGACCTAGCGCACCTTTTGGAGCAAAAATTAATATAAGACAATATCTTATTTTTGGGGAAACAGGGTACCTCAGTAAGGGGGAGTCAGTGCCCCCAGAGTGGAAAGTGATTTTGGGGTCTTGACACAGCTCTCTCCCCGATGTCAATGCCTATAGACAGGGCCATGGGGTTCGCAGGACATTCTGTTGTGAGATACCCCGTGGTGTGGGCGGTGGGTGCCTCAGAAGCTCACAGAGGCCAATGGCTGTCCAAAAGGGGGGGCTTGGCTCCTCATGCTTGTGGACCTGGGCCCTGGTAGCAGGCAACCTGTGAACAGAAAGACATCTTCCCTGGAGCTTTTAGGCATAGAACAAGGCTTCCAGAGGTGGGGGGTAGCCTTCCACTAACCACCGCCCCCCCTCCGCCCCCCCAGTTTGAAGAGCAGGGCAACCTGGCCAGTGCTGTTCACTCATTGGTCCAATGAATGAGGGGGCGGGGTTTCTGGAACAAGGGGGCAGGGCCAGGTGAAAGGCAGGCAATTGTGACCTAAGCAGGAGAAAGGCT